GTGTCTACCTCCAATTTACCTACTGAGCAAGGAAACGTGGAAAACCCATGCAATCCACAACCTGACTTGAGATGGCTCAAAAATCACCCTCCAGAGCTAGTGATTGGAGATCCACAAGAAGGAGTAAAAACAAGGTCCTCAAATATAGATGCTTTATTTTCTTGTTTTCTTTCTCAGGTGGAGCCGACAAGCATTGAAGAAGCTCTAAGTGATCCAGACTGGATTAATGCAATGCAAGAAGAGCTTGATCAATTTAAAAGAAATGACGTATGGGAATTAGTTCCAAGACCCGAAAATTCCAATGTAATTGGAACCAAATGGGTCTTCCGGAACAAAGCCAATGAAGATGGAATTTTTGTTCGAAATAAAGCAAGATTAGTGGCAAAAGGATATTCACAAGAAGAAGGAATAGACTTTGATGAAACATTTGCACCTGTTGCAAGACTTGAAGCCATCAGAATATTTCTAGCATATGCCGCATACAAGACTTTCACAGTCTATCAAATGGACGTGAAAAGTGCATTTCTAAATGACTTACTTGAAGAAGAAGTCTACGTCGAACAACCACCCGGTTTCGAGGTAAAATGTGATATTAATAAGGTCTACAGATTAAAGAAGGCGTTATATGGGTTGAAACAAGCACCGAGAGCTTGGTATGATACCTTATCAACATTTTTAATAAACTGCGGTTTCACAAAAGGCCTTGTAGATAAAACCTTGTTTAGAATTCAAGAAAATGATCACATTTTATTGGTACAAATTTATGTTGATGATATTATTTTTGGAAGTACTAATAAAACTTTATGTGAGAAATTTTCCAAGCTAATGCAGAATAAGTTTGAGATGAGCATGATGGGAGAGTTGAATTACTTTCTTGGATTACAAGTAAAGCAACTCAACGATGGCATATTCATCAATCAGGCCAAATACACAAAAGATCTTATAAAGAAATTTGGTCAAGATGGAAAATCTTCAATCAAGATCCCGATGAGCACATCTTTAAGATTGGATAAAGATGATGAAGGCAAGGACGTTGACGAAACAAAATATCGAGGAATGATTGGATCATTATTATACATCACTGCAAGTCGACCAGATATATTTTATTCAGTGGGAGTATGTGCTAGGTTCCAATCAAAGCCAAAAGAAATTCATTTTCTTGCCACCAAGAAAATCATTCGATACCTAAAAGGAACAGTCAATGTGGGATTATGGTATCCCAAAGAAGGTAATTTTACACTAACTGGTTTCTCAGATGCATATTTTGCAGGATGTAAAATCGATCAAAAAAGTACCTCAGGGACATGCCAGTTCTTAGGGGGAAGATTGGTATCATGGTTTAGCAAAAAGCAAAACTCCATAGCTACAAGCACAGCTGAAGCTGAATATATAGCTGCTGGAAGTTGTTGTGCACAAATTCTTTGGATGAAACAACAACTGAGAGATTATGGCGTGAATTGTGAAAATGTCAACATATTATGTGACAATACAAGTGCTATAGCCATAACACACAATCCCGTGTTACATTCAAGAACAAAACACATTGATGTGAGACATCATTTTATCCGAGATCATGTTGAAAAGAAGGATCTGACGATAGAATACATCCCGACCGAAAATCAAATAGCTGATATTCTCACAAAGCCTCTGTGTGAATCAAGATTTTCGAAATTGAGACACGAGATGGGCATGATTGAATTGAGCTAAGTTTCTAAACTCTATTTAAATTAAAGAGCTCAATTTTTTATCTGAAAATATGTTACTTTATCTGATTTAATTAACTTATTTTCGTGCCTATGTGTCCCACATGCAAAATATGTCACATCTTAGTATTTATGTCCACCTATCTTAATTGCATAAAAATAATGCATGCATCTTCAACCGTGTATCAATATATATACACAATAAAATTTGGTTAGATTTACAAAATCTTTACCATTTAAGAGTTGACAAGATAGTATGATGATGATTTTATCTTAAATGAGAACACCTTTTTATGGTAGTTGCATACAATAAATTCTCTAAAAAGAATCAACCTTTTCTTTCTCACAACTACATAAACGTGTATATATGTACATACATATATTATTTTCGGAACTGATTTAGTGCTCTATGAATTTTATTTCAGGTAAAATCAGTCCGAGTATCTAAATTTTTGGTGCCACATCAGGAGACAAATTGGATGGAGAATATATAACCTAAACTAACTATCAGTTAGGTCAAAGGTTGGAAACCCTTGGAATCTCAAAAATAACCCTCACATCTTAAAGTCAAAAATTAAATTTTGAGGATATTTTTGTAAAGACAACCCCTTTCCACCCAACCGGTCGAAAAGCCACCTCTTCCACTCAAAATCCTCCAAAACCTTCCATCTTCCATAGCCGAATTACTCTCAAGCTTCATCTCTCTCAATCTCAATCAAAATACCAAATACATTATGGCAACCATTGGAGATTCGAGCTCTCAACCTAATGAGGAACAATCTACACAACTCAATCTCGCAAAGCTAGCAGTTGGAATCAAAGCCGGAGGAAGCTTTGACCCCCACAGATTTCTCAAGGAGACCAAGAACTCTGAACTAGCACAAAGAATCATCCATGCACTCCAAAGTAGCGAACTAATGAGGTTATGTTCCTATCCATACTCTGGATTTTATGATGAAGATGTAGCAGATTTTTGTGTAAATACCAAAGTTGTTGGTTGGACCATTGAGTCCACCATGAATGGAACTCTCATCACCATTGATGAACAAGAGTTACACTCAACTTTTGGAATTCCTATATCAAGTCCAGAACAACCACTGTTGGACTTAGATATACATGCATATGATCACACCGAAGTTTGGGCAGACTGACTGCTAGCTTGACTTGAAGCTAGAATATGAAATGCTAGTAAAAATCATCTACAAATGTCTTCTATGCAAACTGAAATAGTATGGAGGACATATCACCTACGAGAATTGGATATTTGCATGCTTTGATGAATGGTGTTAGGGGAGACTGAAACAAGCTTATATTGAGCCGGATTGCTCATTTTGTGAAAGGTGCAAAGATTAGGAATGGTAGGTTCAACCATATTCTAGGTTTCGGGTTACTTATTGGAGATATTATCAAGAGAAAAGGATTACCAATGAGGGCTAGAAAGCCATTTGGGAATAACCAAATACTCTACAAAGACCATTAGGTCTCAACTGAGTCCAATCCCAAAAGAAAAAGAAAACCGAGAGGCATCCCTGCTAGAAAAAGGCCAGTAGCAGAAATCCTTGGTTTAAACCCTCAACCCACACCCCAACCTCTTGAAAATCCTACCTCAAGTCATGAACCAAATTCAAGCCAAAATCCTACATCAAGCCAAAATCCTACCACAACCACAAGCCAAAATCCCACCCTAAGTCATAACCCTACCTCAAATCTTGATCCCAACACAAGCCAAAATGTCATGAATCCTTTCTCTCGGATAGCCGTGTTGGAAACAGTGATGAATGAGGAGATTTATCAAGTTGATGGACTTGATTCAATTTTGGTGAATGAGTATCAAAGAATTTTAAATTGGAGACGTTGGAGACTTGGCTCTTATCAAGATTTGATGACAAGAGGACCAAGTATGGAAGAAGAAGAAGCATTTTCCTTGCAATGGATCGGCAGTTTAGATATTGGCCATGCAACCTTGATTTCAATCGTAAATGGTGCATTTGTAAGTAAGCTAAAAGCCAAATTGGCTGAGACTTCTCATGTCAACACAGCACAAGTGAACATGCCAACTGGAGATGATTTTTTGGTTGATATTAATGATTTTGATCAACCTATTGAGCTTACTAGACACGAAGAAGGAGAAAATGCTACGCATGCTCAACTTTTTGATCAACATGGTGTGAATCCACTTTTGATGGACATCGAATTATATGATGTTAGTGTGTTGAATCAGACTGAAATTAGCCATGAAGATCAAGCCATGCATGCCAGCCACCACACGGAAGAAAATCAGTCAACACATGCAGAAAGTGTTCAAGGTGACACACATGTGTTGGAAGAACACACGCCAGAAGAAGAAAGAAATGTGATAGAAAATCAAGCACAATCTCACATGCTTGGAGACAATTCTGCTCAAGAAGGAGCAAGGCACCTTCCCACAACCCAAGAAAAGAACAATCTTGATGGCACTACCTCAAATGATCAATTGAAAAATCTGGAAAGTGTTGTACTAAGCCTAGTTGACCGAATGGAGAGCATGATTCAAGGAATTTACACTCATGTGGATCATGTTGTCAATACACAAGGAGGAAAATTCGAATCTACATTTGATGAAAACCGAAGGAGTCAACAACACTTGATTGATACACATCAAGCACTTGAGAGACAAGTTGGCGGTTTGAATACAAATGTCAAAGGACTACTCAATGAGTTCTACATCCAACTGTCTCAATCGCTCAAAAAAGCTGGAAAAGCCAACGAAGCAATTGGCGTGAATCAAAGTCAAGGGATTCTCAATGTGGTCCATCAACATGAGAAACAAATTGGTGATGTCCACATAGATCTCATCTCCATCAACACCAAAGTAAGCTGCCTTCGAGGTTCATATGAAAATATCTCAGAATCTGTTTATTCTCTTCGTGAATCGGTGCACACACTGATTGATTACGCCAAAAAGGGGGAAGAGAGATTCAGTCATTTAGAAGGCATGCTGGAAATGATCATGACTGCCATGGCTACCAGAAATATTGGTACAAGCAGTAGTAGAGGAGGAGGCAGATCTGCTGGCAGATCCAACATTGCAAGAAGAGGAGGAGTGGAATATTAGTTCGGTGGTGATGCAGGCAGTCCAGGTGGATCAAGCAGTACAAATACCACTAACCGATCATTTCGTGAAATTATTTGTGCAGGAGGAAATCAAGAACAAATAAATTGGTACGCCAAAGCAGCTCTTTATTTGGAATCCACACCATGAGATGGTAGAGTTGAAATGCCAAGATTGGCAACCTTGAATGATCTACCAAAAGGAATGAAGAAGAGTGGTCCAAGTGACCAAAACATGTGGGTTTCGAATGAAAATTTCAGGAGAATCAAGAGCTATGCAATATCTTTGATGATCATGGTGCTTAGAGACTACATCAAAGTAAATGATGCCGAGATTCAAGGAGACAGAAATCTAGTAGAATGCATCATATGGTATGAAGAAGGTATACTACCCGGGAACAACATTATTGAAGCATTCAACTACTACGTGATTGGGCAGGTATGCAAAGATTATGCCATTAGTGAAAATTTCATTGAAGTTAAGAATCATATAAATCATGTGCTAGAAGAAAGGAGAAGTAGAATAATCAAGTGATTTGTATGATTAAATGTCACAATGTTTTTTGTATGGTCAACGAACTTGGAGTATGACCATAAGACAATTTGCAATGATGTTCTTTGATTATCTGTTTATGATGCTTCTAAGTATTTTATCTATTGTTATTTTATTTGTCTTGAAAGGTAACATTTTAAGCTTAGATTGTATCAAAACGCATAAATTGGAAAATTGCAAAATTCATTATCATTAAAATCCAAAAATGCGAATAGGAATTTTTGTTGCTAAAAATACCTTTCCTAGAGTCAAAATCAAATGTTAAACTCGTCATGGCTATGTCAAAGTTAATAAAATCTTTTGAAAAATAAGTTTTTTTTTAAAAGGCAAGCCAAATGACTGAGTATAGGTTTTGGCGTCATCAAAAAGGGGGAAAATTGATAGGAATATTTTTGTAAGTTTTGATGAGCCAAATGTACTATAGATCCCCTTAGATTTTAGGTCTCTAGTACAAGCATCATAAATCAGAATATCGAGTCAAAGGAAATCTACCATATGAAGAACAAAATTAATTTGGAAAATTAATTTTGGTCCTACAAGTATTCATCCAAGAAAGAAGCATAAAGGAATGGCGTTACAACAAATGATTGGATGAGCTTAACGGTGAAATGGTAAAAGTCCTTATATAAAATGATCATACTCAAGATCGATTCCCCATAAGGATTTATTTTTTACAAGTCAAGAATTCGGACAAGCACAATGTTCTTAAGGAGCACGATGTGTACAAGCAAGATGTGCCCAAGGAGCACAATGTTCTAAAAGAGCACGATGTCTGAAAGGAGCACAATGTTCAAAAGGAGCACAATGTGATCAAATCAGAAAAAGCACAATGTTCAAGTCAAACAAGCAAGAAGTGCATAAGTCAAAGGAGCACAATGTGGCAAAGAAGCAAGATGATCTGAAAATGGATAAATTCGAAGGAATTTATTTTGAATCTACCCACATGCCACAAGAGTCCAAAATTGTCTAAAGATATGATCAGAACGGGAGAAATATTTATGAAGACATGAATATAAAAACTTATACTAGAAATAAATTCTATAAGACGGATTTATTTCAAAGATACGTTGGAAATTCAAAAATGACAAAAATAATAATATTTTAGAAACAACTTGAAAATCAAGTTGAGATAAAATATTATCTTGTCAGGCAAGTTGACAATCAAATCATATTGAAGACCTATCATTGTCAACAATATCAGGCTATGAAGATTCAAAATTCAAATATCAAATTATCCCACTCCAACAGATATATTTGGTTATCTATAAAAAGGCCATGAAGACTTGAAGAAAGATATAGAGGTGAATACAAAAAGAAGTCGTGAATACACACGAGATAAACAAGTGCAAGTGCTCAAATATTCTTTAGAGACTTAGTCTGAATAATCTCAAAAATAGTTGGAGAGAGATACAATTACCTTTGTATTTGTAATTGTTAGAAGAGTATAGAAGTGTGCAAAAATACTCTAGTGAGTGTAGCTGTGTGCAAAACACTCGTGATTGCTAAGTGTAGCTGTGTGCAAAACACTCGTGATTGCTAAGTGTAGCTGTGTGCAAAACACTTAGTTGGCGTTGAGTATAGCTGTGTGCGAAATACTCGTAGTTGAGTGTAGCTGTGTGCGAGACATCTGGAAGAAGTGCTTGTGTAGCACTTATTCACTATTGTAACTGTGTGTGGAAAATAGTGAGTAAAGTGTACTAGGAAGATTACGCCACTTCCGAACCACTATAAACTGCCTCTCTCATTTACATACCACACTTATCATAAGGTCGACGTGACACGAAATAAGCCCTCATCTGATCATGTGTCTTTTTTTTTAGTACAAAGGAAGGGGGATACCCACACTGAGGCTCAAAACCTAGACCTCCTATATAGGGGAGCCATCCGATACCAGTGGACCACAAACCACTTGTTATGTGCATGTGATTCAAATTATTGATTGGGCATAGCTCTTTACACTTATTTATTCCGCTGTGCATTTCAATCTGATTACTTCTCTATTTACTTGTTACTTAGAGTTGAAATTACCAAAGAGTTATTAATTGTGAAAAAATTTAAAAGTCTATTCACCCCCCCCCCCCCTCTAGACTTTTACCACCCTATCGGGACCAACAGACTTGGTTGTACAGGGGTCCTGGAGGTAATGGTTGGAACAAGACATAAGGTTGGGGGAGCCATAAGGTTGGAATCGGGCATAAGGAAGGCATATCAATTCGTGATGGGTGATGTCACGAAGGCTTGTGTAGCCATTGTTGTGTTTCTCTATTTGTGACATGTGTTGTCACAAAGGCATGTGTTTCCTAGGCATGTGTTGCCAATGGTTGTGTCCTTACTCTCTTGTGTTATGCATGTCGGGTGTTAATCTACTGTGTGATGGTAGATTATGCCTTGAGCCGTTCTTGTGAGTCGTTATTGCTTCTTGTGGTCTTGGGATGTGTTCCCGTATTCTTGTTGTGAGTGCTTAGAGTCTTGTGTTGACTTCTGCTCTTGGTTTTGAACTTATATATATATATATATATATATATATATATATATATATATATATATATATATATATATATATATATTCCGTTTCGCAAATGATTTTATATACGTATATCCTATCTATGTATGATATTTCACATGTATTGGTGGGTTACCAGCATTATTCGATGACCGGGCGTCGTCCCATATTTTATGTGTTTCTTTCAGGTGCTGAGTAGACGAGAGCGTGGTCTAGAACCTGTTAGCTTAGATCCATTTATTTTGAGACGTTGTGGCCTGTGTACCAATGTTAGACATTAGTTCTCCTATCTCGAATGATTTTATATTGTGGATTTATGCAGATGTTTCGCCTGTGCGTTCACCTTTGGGTGGGCGTGGCATAGCACCCTTTATTTCCTATTTATATATTCCATGTTTAGTCTACCGCTGTGTATGATGTTATGGCTAGTTATCTGCATGTTTAAGGTTTAATTTAGCACGGAAATTAGGGGGTGTTACAATTGCTGGCTGTCAATTTCAAAGGAGTTAATTCCAGCATTGGTCCTCTGACTATTGCGATTTTCCACAATTGGTCCTCAACTTTTAATTTGGACAATTTAAACACTCGAGTATTAAAATGTTTCCAATATTAGTCCTTCCGTCCCAAGCTGGTCAAGTATCCGTTAAAAGGGGGGTTAAAATAGTCTTTTAACATGCTTTGAGTATAATACATCATTCTCCTCCTTATACGTCGCGATTAAAGTCTTAAATTCCTCGAGGATCACGATTCACGACCACCAATGGATCCGGCGCATCCGATACCTACAATGTGTTCAAGTCGTTGGAGAAGCATGCCGAGGATCGCGCGCCGCCGGAAAATTGCCTTTTAACCTGCTTTGCGTATAATACATCATTCTCCTCCATATACGCCGCGATTAAAATCAAAATATCCATTTTCTGTTAACCCGGCTGACATCGTCGTTCTCCTCCGCCCCATCCACGAAAATATGTACCTGTAGTTCAATAGTTAACTCAAAGGAAGACCGTGATGAAGCTGAGAAGAGGTTTGCGGACATTGACATCGCTGAGAGGGATCTTGAGCTCTGTTTCCACACCGCCGACTCACCATAACTTCTCCACAAAGTCGTCGTCGACGTTCCCACCGGCGTCCAATGCCGCGGACGTGGCTTCCAGTGCCGCTGCCGGCTTGACTCTCTTCTGATCGACGATGTCGCCGCTGTTTCCAAGCCTGATACAATTCCGACTCTGCTTCAATCGGCGTCGTCGTTTATGATGGCGTTTTCCATCTCTGTCACAAAGGTGTAAAGTGAGTGATTCGGGTAGTCGACGCCGTGGGGGGCACCAATATCTGCTGCTGGAAAGTCGACGCCGCCAACATCTATTTTGCGATTTGAAACTGGACAGTAAGCCTTTGTCGCGTCCAGCTCAAACCCTGACCTCCGGAGCGCCGCCGCCGTTGGTGATTCTATTGCAGACATAGTCACTAGGGTTTTCATGGATGGAGGAGAACGGGGTATTTTGATTTTTCTAAAAATTGAGGAGCTGGAAAGTAGGGCGTGCGAAAGTGGCGGTCGGCGACGTGTGGCGGCAGGCTGCAGCAGAGGAGGCAGAGGCTGACCTAGAGTAGAGGAGAACAGTCGCGAATCGCGTGGAGGACGACGATGGTGGACTCTCGTGGGCTAGTGGTGGTGGGTGAAAACCGAGTGGTTCTTCGGCTTCTTCGTAGACTGCAGAGAGAAAGAGACGTGCAATACTTCTACTATTAGGTTTAGGGTATTTTGATTTTCTCCGTATACGTAGAAGGACGATGTATTATACACAAAGCATGTTAAAAGACTATTTTAACCCTCCTTTTAATGGATACTTAACTAGCTTGGGACGGAAGGACTAATATTGAAAACATTTTAATAGTCAAGTGTCTAAATTGTCCAAATTAAAAGTCGATGACCAATTGTGGAAAATCACAATAGTCAGAGGATCAATGCTGGAATTAACTCATTTCAAAGAGTTACCTACGACTCATTCGTGCCAAATGTTTTCTCATTACAGCACTACATAATGAGTTATGCAGGTAATTTTTATCCACCTACCTATGAAATTGAAAGAAGTAGTGAGCACACTATACTTCCACCGTTATCTGCTAGACGAGATTCGCGTCTTGGACAAAGACAAACTCGTTGCTACCCAATGGAAATCCATGGGACGGTGTATGTATTCTCGCGCTCGAACTCATGCTTCACACCAATGCCCAAGGTTTATTTCCCGATCGTAGTGACATTTACTAAATCCACTCCTTGTACACAGAACTTCAATGGAAATGCAGATGGTTTCTACTTTCTATGTTAACATTTTTTTAGATAAAAATTTATTTTTACAAGTTTCACATTTTCGTGTAAGTACAACGAGGGCCAAATGTTCATAATTTTACAAGTTTTACATTTTTCTAATGCATCATAAAATACGCGGCCATTTAATTCGTTCTTCCACGAATTTCACAAAAATAAACTTGTAATATACGAGGTTTCAAAGAAAGAAGAAGTCGAAATTGAAACTTTACGCGTATAGCATAGGCATTATTTGAATTTGTCAGGCAATATTCAAATAACGCCTATGCCATAGGCGTTATTCGAATATTGCCTGGCAATTCGAATAAGGCCTATGCCATATAAGATTATGAACTGTATGAATTTAATTAACACAAACAATAAGCTATAAATAGCATACAAGGGAGAGAAGCTAGCACGTGGTTAGTAGGAAGTTGTAACCACCAGTTTAATACTGCTATATTAAAGGAGAATAATTAAAACTAAATATAGACAAAATGTATCAGCCACAAGTATCCTTAATACGCCCCTGCAAGATCCAGGAAGCAGACGGCCCGACCACCGAATTAGCCATAGGAGGCATAGGAGGTTGCACAAGAGGAACATTATGCTCCTTTAAAAACCTGCCTAGCTTACGGCACACTCTTGTTTCATGACCTGTAAGATGACAGAACTTACAGACAGTACTTGAGCGTTTGGGTTCTCCTTGTCACCAATTCTGTTTGACTAAGCTGTAACGAGTGTTATTGCTGCGACCTCGTCGGTTGGAATCAGTGTGCTGGTTGTGCCGTGAGGGTGGCAAGGCACGTTGCATAACATTGGCAGAGGCCACTAAAGACTGATGCAATTGACGTCCATGGTCAGTCAGCACTTCTGCTAACTCGCCAAAGGACATAGGCTTTTCACGGACGCGAATAGCCGATATGATAGAATTGTAATCCTCCCCCAACTGCGTCAATATGTAGACGATTAGATCATCATCAAGGACAGGACACTGAGCCAACGCCAGGTCATCGGCTATGGCTCGCATGTCATTGAGGTAAGTAGCGATGGACCGAGAACCTCTTGGGTTTTTAGTGAGTTTTGCCTTGAGGGAAATAATGCGTCCTCTAGAGGCACTGGCATAACTGGCAACCAGACGTTGCCATGCATCATAAGTTGTCGTAGCGGATGAAACGAGTGGCTGTATTGTGTCAGTGCAGCTACCCAGAAGTGCACCAACAATGATTTGGTCCTGACGGTACCAAGTTAAATGTCTTGGGTTGGGAACGGTTCGAGCAGGATCCGTGTATTCAGTGGGTTCCGTGGTGGAACTGTCAATATAGCCCAGGAGGTTGAGACCAACAAGGGTATCATGAACTTGTTGGCGCCAAACTGGGAAATTGATGGTAGTGAGTTTAATGGGAAAGTGTGCGGGAGCATTGAGCTTAATGATTTCATTGGTGGTAGTAGAAGCCATCGAAAAAAAAATGAGAAGTTCTTTCGTAGGAGAAATTGGCTCTTGATACCATATAAGATTATGAAGTGTATGAATTTAATTAACACAAACAACAAGCTATAAATAGTATACAAGGGAGAGAAGCTAGCAGGTGGTTAGTAGGAAGTTGTAACCACCAGTTTAATACTATTATATTAAAGGAGAATAATTAAAACTAAATAGAGACAAAATGTATCAGCCACAAGTATCCTTAATATGCCACACGCATTATTCGAATTCTATTTATACCCCTCCTCCGTCCATTTTATAGAAGCACAACTACTAAATCATTTTGCTTCACACTCCGACCATTTTATACAAGCACAACTACTGAATCATTTTGCTCCAAACTCCTTATCCATTTTCAAACTCCTTACCAATTTACAAATTTCTCTTCCATCATCATGGATATTTTTGTAGAATTTTTGAAGGTTTCATGCGTCAACCAACAACGTTATAATATGAAACTTTATTTCGTAAATACAATAAACGGAAGGAAATTATTGTATGCAATTATAGAGCATACATTAGAAGATCAATATATATGTTTTGCACCTCCTTCATGGGTAAAATATATGAAAATGCTAGGACTAAACGTATCCGATCCAATTGCATTTCCTAATTTTCAAGATGCAGAGCGTTATACCTATGACGTCCTACAACATGGCCTACGAACACTACTCCTTCCCTCACGTAAGTCATTTCATATTTCAAATTTATAATGTGTATTTATAACTATTTTTTCCTTTGCTTTCTTATAGCTTTCAATGATCAAAAACATTTGCCGGATATTACGAGATCTACTATTGTATGTTTTTTTTATTACAATTAGGTCGCGTGTGACCATGGTAAATTTATCAATTTTACTTTGATATTTCGTTCTTTTTATATTCTATTCCAATTAGTTTTTTTTTTATTGCGCCCTAAATTTTTTTTTTATATATAGAAAATCCCAAATTACATTTATCGACATCTAATGCAGCACTTCACAACGACTGCGATCTTGAAATATGGTTCGTCGTTCGCAATCGAAGTGTCAGTTGAAAACATGCACTTTACTATAGGAATTTCTGAAATATTTAGACATACTGGTTTCTTCACTTTTGAAACCTTTTGCTATACTTTCGATGGAATGTTGAAGAGGTACCCTTATTTTCAACCAAATGCGTACCACATTCCTTCTCGTCCATATCAACTAGGTAACTATACACTTTAATGCAGCGCCAAAATTTATGTTACATATTCCAACCATTAATTATTCATTTTTTACACCTTAGACCAAATACGTGTAAAAGCGAAATCTGCACTGTCCCCAGCATATTCAATTCATGTAGAACGATGTCGTTCTTTGTATACGGATTTCTCCCAACCTGGAGCGGTAAGAAATAATACACATTCATAATATTCTAATTCATTTCTAACAATTATTTACTAATTCATTTCTTTGTTTCGTCTCTATAGAAAGCTATATTGTCTGCATTCCTCAGAGATTTCGACGAGTTCGTTGACGCTACGCTTGAAATAGTATGTGGATCTCGAAAGCTAGAGCTCTACTTTGACACAACTTTAACTTTTTTTCACAGAATAGTGTGAGGAAATAACAACACATTTTAATATTAATACAACGGAGGACGATGTCGTTTTATTTAGTTTGGAGGACAAAGTTGTACTAATCATGGTTATTGGTTCATGTCATGTTGAAAAAATTTATCCATGGTCGGTTAAATATTTCATTTATGACAGTGTGTATGGTGAACTTAACACTTTAGACATATGATGATAATAATAATAATGTTAACAGTTTTTGTATTTTATCTGATTATAATTATATTTCATTTTTACTAATCATTACTACTTATTTACTTTATTTATTTAGTTCAACATCTAATCATTATATGTTACAAATCATTACTTATTAATTGCATTAATCATTATCTATAAAAGAAAATAAAATTGAATTCGTATTTTATTATGTATACTTCCATATATATGTATTTCAATCGGTATAATTGTATATAGATGATTTTTTTTTTCCGTATTAAGCAATATCGTCTTTGCGGAAGACGATTTCTCTAATGCTCAATGTCGCCTATGCCAAAGACACTTTCCTTGTTTTGTATCTCACTTTAGGGATTTTCCTATTTCGACAACCATGCAAAATTCTCTGCCTCCCCGTCGAGTTAATGATTCAGGCTGAGGCGACCGACGGAGGTGGAGGCGGAAGTGACCGGCAGTAGGTCGTGGGGCAGACTGGTGAATTTGAAGTTGAACTTTCGCGAAAAAAAAAAGTTGAGACGGTTCGGGCGGCTAGGCGCCTGGCCGCGGTGGTGGCCAATTCCGACCTTCCTCGATGCCTAGCGCATTGGCGCAGATTAATCGACGCGATTTTTGCAACACTAGTGATAAGTTCATCAATATGCCTCTAATAATTTGACAAATCAAAATAAATTTTTAATGTTTATAAGTAATGGATTAAAAGAATTACTTTTAATATAATTTTTAAAAACGTTGTATAAAATAATAATTTATAAATTAAGTCTATAATTTAAACATAATTGATGGAGTAAAAGTCTGAAACCCTCATTTTCCTTTTTTATAAAATACTCATTTCCTTTAGCAAATTAAAAACCGGCATGTGCGGATTGGTTGGGCATGTGATGTGTCGGTGTTCTCGACTCTCGAGGGATGAAACTCCAATATCATCACCTTCTCTGTTGAAATTTCTCATAACTCACTCTGATCTTCTACCTACCTACCTCAAACTTGCAATTCAAACAGCAAAAAGAGTGAGTGAGTGAGAAAGAGAGATGGCTTATGTTGCTTTAACTTCTCTAAAGACAACAATTGAGCTTCACTTTCTGCTGCAACCCATCCCGAGAGTTTCTCTTCATCATCTTCATCATGTTCAAACACCACCCATCATCAAATCTTTCCATGAAAACCTTTCCTTTTTGGAGGCCTTTCTGGAAATGAAATCCAGTGCCGGTGGTGCTGCAATCAAATATTTTGGAACCCTAATAAGAGACTTCGCACTCAAAGTTGAAGATGACATCGAAATACAGCTAAGCAACTTTGTTGTGGCCAAAGCCAAAGAAGACGCAATGCATAAAGAAGCAGCTTCCCAACAACTCTATCAAATATTGCAACAAGCACAAGAAAAGACTGCAGATGTGGTGGAGATTATCAACAGCGGAAAGAGACAGAATGATGATTTAACTTATCTCAAGAGAATAATAGATCATCATCATATGAAGTCTATACAATCCAACGCGAGGAGAGTGGGTTATGATCAAATTCAAACCCTATTCAAATCTCTCATTCAAAGTCTTTCTTTTTTGCGAGGATTTCTTTATACATCCAAACTTCGTGCTGCAATCACCAGAGATTTGGAAACCAAAATAAGAGATTTAGTTGTAGATGACATCGAGATACAACTCAGCAGTTTTCTTCTGGCCAAAGACACAGTACACGATGAAGAAGCTTTCCAAGAACTGTGTCAAACCTTGCAACAAGCAGAAGAGAAGAGGATACTAGAGCTGGTGGAGATCATCAACAAAGAAAAGGAGAGACAGAAGACTTGGGAATGTTGTGATGATTTAACTAATATCTTGACAAGATTAATGAATGATAATTATCTTAGGTCGTCGTCTTTGACCACACCCAGCTCATGGGTGCCTCACTACGTTGAAACACCACTACAATCTGTCCGTGAAAATGTCTTTCCTTTGCAAGAATTTGTACTGAAATCCAAGTTTGGTGGATCCGGAGCTGAAATCCTCCAAATCAGACACTTTGTACTCAAAGCTAAAGAAGACATCGAAAAACAATTTCGAAACTTTTGTGTGGCCAAAGAAGAGCAAAGCCTGCAAAAAGCTTGGGAACAATTCATTCAAACCTTGCATCAAGTAAGAGAAAATGCAGCACAGCTGTTGAGCACTCTCCACAACACAAGAAGCAATGAAGCTGCTGCGGCCAATGATACTCAGTCTGTGTGCTATCCAAAGCTTGAGGAGGGCAGAATAATGGTGGGTCTTCAAAATGACGTTAGTATCATAAAGAATCAACTCTTCAGTCGCTTTCATGGTGTCAAAGTAATCCCAATTATTGGGATGCCAGGCATAGGGAAGACTACTTTAGCAAGAAAAATCTTGGAAGATCAATCAATTGCATTGCATTTCCAGGTACGAGGATGGGTTACAGTCACTCAAAATTACAATGAGACCAAAGTGCTACGCGACCTTCTCCAGTCAATTTCACCAAATGAAATTATAAAGGAAGCCCCTCTTCGGGAGGAGGTTCGTGAATGCTTGAAGGAAAAGAAGTATCTAATTGTTTTGGATGACATATGGAGCACTCAACATTGGGTTCAATTAGAAGACTTATTTTGCAATTCTGCAGTGAATGGAAGTTGCATAGTGAATGGAAGCTGCATATTGCTGACCACTAGATTCTATGGAGTGGCTGACTATGCTTGCACAATCAAAGGTACATATCATCATGTTATGAATTTACTAGATCCAAATGAAAGTTGGGATCTATTCTGCACTATCTTTCCTCTTCAAAGGTATAGGGCACTAAGTTTTAGAAAATTCAGGAGTGACTTGTTCCATGTTGTGGAAATATGTGAAGGATTGCCACTGTCAATTGTTGTAGTTGCAAAGCGCTTATCTGAATGCAAAGACAACATACAACATGAATTGAAAAAGATTGAAAAGGAAATAGAATTGTTGGGAATTCTAGATTATAGTGCACTCGTTCTTATGTACAATCAGTTGCCAGAATATTTGAAAGGTTGTTTTCTATATCTTGGAGTCTTTCCAAAGCGCAGTGAAATTCAAGTTAAAACACTTCTTAGGTTATGGATTGCTGAATGATTTGTGAAGCCATGGATGAATAATGAGGAGTTTGAAAGGATTGCTTATTGGTACTTAAAGGACCTCATTCACAGAAGTCTTGTGTTGATAAGCAAACAGACTCTTGATGGCGAAATTAAGACTTGTAGGGTGCACAGTGTCATGCATAACATCTGTTTCAGAGAGGCTCAAAAAGAGGGAATTCTATGCGCAGTAAATACTCGGCAACTCCCAAGGTGGTCATTAAATGCATTTGCAAATTCATGTCGTTGGTTAAGTTTATGCAAACACAGGTTTGACTATTATGTGTTGTTTAGTTCAACCAACCCTCGCTCCATTTTCTTCTTTCAAGAAAACACAGAAATTTTTGTATCCTTGAAGCTGTTAAGAGTTTTGGCATTTGTTGAATCTTCATTCCTCCAAAGACTAACAAAGCAGCAATTAGGGGATTTGATATTTTTAAGATACTTATCTGTAACACAATGGTTTGAGGGTCTGAGTGATGTTGTGTCAAGTAATGTGAATTTGCAAACACTTATTGTTTCCTGTAGTACTGAGAGTGAATCACAAGTTGGAGCACCTATTCTCCATTTGCCATCAACATTTTGGGAGTCACCACAGTTAAGGCATCTTGAACTTGGCACTTGCTATGCTGTCAATCCTCCAAGAATGGTGAAAGAGAATTTGCAAACATTATCTTGGGTAGGTCCAACTCATTGCAGAAAAGAAGTGTATTCTAGTTTTCCAAACATGAAAAAACTGAAAATATTCTGTAAAGAAGAGTTAGAGGCCAGTCACATAGGTGGATCTTCCAGAAAACACATCATTTTGGATAAATTGGACTATTTAGATGGTCTTGAGAGTTTAACAATTTCAGCTTCTATTGCCTGTTTTGTAACCCTTCAAGAAAGATGTATGTTTCCTTTACAACTGAAGATGCTGAAGTTGAGTGGGATTCGTATTTCTTGTTGGGATTTAAAGGTTATTGGGAGGTTGAAATGTCTTAAGGCGCTGAAGCTGGAAGATGTGTTTCATCAAGAAGTGTGGAGAGTAAGTGAAGGAGAATTTGATGAATTAAACTTCTTGCTCCTTGAAGATAAAGTACTCAAGCGGTTGGAGACTAACAAATATTCTTTCCCCCTTCTTCAACACCTATGTCTAAGATGTTGTGATTGTTTGGAAGAGATTCCAAGCAGTTTTGGAGAAATTTTCTGCTTGAAGTTAATAGATTTGGATAGGTGTAGCCGCCCTTCCATTATCACTTCTGCCAGGGATATTCAAGAGAAGCTAAAGAAGAGTTTTGGTAAAGAAAATTTTAAGGTTAGAAGGAAGCAGCTCTGACTTGTTCATTCTTTTTTATTTTATTATATATATATAACTTAGATGGTTAAGGAAGTTGTTTGCAAAATGTGATACATAGTATTTAATAATTATTTGTTTTGTGTATTTTGCAATACTTGATGATGCATAGATTAAAATCCAAGGGCAGGAGCAGGGGCCTGAATATGTAGAAGATGTTGAAAAGGCAAATTCTGAGGTTAGAAGTTATGGCTCATTCTTTCTTTTTTTTTTTTTTAGATGCTGAACTTTATTGTGTGCAAAATCTGTTACTCCGTATGATTTAATTTTTTGTTAATCTCATTTGTTTTCATAGATAAAAATGGGTGAATCAGCAGGGCCGGGGCAGATGGTAGAAGTTGTTGGGGTTGGGAAATTGAAGTCGTACATCCACAAATTAAAGAAAAAGAAAAAGAGATTGACAAATCTGTTAAAGAGGCACAAGCCCCAGAAGTAGTTAGTGGCTCTGAGTACCAATTCAAGTAGATTTCAGCAAAATGAAATGAGGTTAGAAGCTACAGCCTTGAGCCTACGGCCTATTTATTTATTTTTTATTCGATACCCACTGTCTTTAATTTCCTATATTTATTTGTCACTAATTATTTCTCTATCTCATTTCATCTTGTCCATTTTGCATGATATGTTTTTTCATAGGGTGTGGTGGCGGTTGGGCGCGTCGTGGCGTCGCCTGGCAGCGAGTTGCGGCCGGGTGCGGCGTGGGCGGTCTCCGGGCGTCGACGGCGGCGTCTCGGGGCGATGGGGTTGGCTGGGTGGTCGTCGGCGTTGTGGGGGTTGACGGGCGGCGATAGGGCTGGTGGCGTGTGGCCGGCGGGTTCGTGGGGCGTTGTCGGCTTTGGGGTGGGGGTGCGGCGGAAGAGAGAGGGAGAGTGAGGAAGAGGGGGTGTGAGGAAGAAAAGGGTTTTGATTTGGGGGTTTTTGAGATTTTTAGGGATTTGTAGGGGTTTAAGAAGGGAGTGTTCCCTTGAGGTTTCAAGAAATACTCATAGTCTAGTGGTTTGGAACTTGGTCTTATAAGTGGGAAGTTTAAGGTTCCATTCCCATTGGTAACATTAGTTTTCTTTGTTGTGTTTTTGTCATTTTCCTTCTTTTTTCTTCTAGTGGTGGGGAATTTGATTGGTCCCCCATATGGTCTGTTTGTTGTCAAATTTTCTCTTTTTACGCTAGAATATTTCGATTTTATTTAAAAATGATTCCGGAGTAGCTAAGCTAAGTAGCCTTTCTACAAGGGTGGTTACAAGGGGTTTCTTAGTCTATCCTAAACAGAATTCGTCTTTTTGGTTTCCCTCTGGTGGATGCGCGTGATCCTCCTCTTCCGGGGTCATGTTCTCTTCGTTGAGGTTGCCCTCGTTCCCAAGTTCGGCTTGTGTGCGGCTCATGATGAATACTTTCCCGGGGGTACCGTGATTCCCTTGGTTGCTTGCGCCTCCGTGTTGTCCCATGTTTATGGGGCGTGAGCTTGAGGGTTGTAAGCAGTGGAAGGCCCTGTGTCCTTCTTTTCCACAGTTGAAGCACCATAAGGGGTTCCCCATGCAGTCCCTGCCTCTGTGGCTTTGGTTGTATTTTGGGCAAGGGAAGCCCCCTGTATTGGCTTCGTCGTTTCTTGGGGGTGGTCTTTGTCCAGTTGGGTTGTTTGGCCTCGTGTTGGTGTCGGCTCTTGTTCTCTTTATTGGTGGTGCACCTCCTCTTGTGTTCCTTTTTCGAAACTGATCTTGAACCCCACATTGTAGTAGTTGGATTCAGTAGAAGTTGGCAGCACTGGAGTAAGCCTCGTTGAGGGTCCGGGGCCTGTTTACTACTAGTGATTTCCGAGCTTCGAAGTTGAGGCCCGATACAAACCTTTCTATTTTTGTTGATTCTGTGGGGATTAACTCTTGCGCGAAGCGTGCCAGTTCGAGGAATCGTTTATGGTATTCCGTGATGGTAGCCGCTCCTTGTTTTAGGTTGAGGAACTCTTCGTGCATAGAGGCTTTTACGTGTGCCGGGTAGAATCGTTCTCGCAGGCGTGTTTTTAGGCTTTCCCAGTTGAATCCTGGTTCTTGCCTGTAAGTGGGTCCTTCGTGGATCCACCAAAGGTCTACCTCGTGTCCGAAATAGAATGAGGCTATCTCGACACGACGCTCTTCTGGGCATTCTACCAATCCCAGAATCTTGTCGAAGGTCCGTATCCATTCCTCGATGATGGTGGGATCTTCTTCTCCTGAGAACGTGGGTGGTCAATGGTTTGAAACTTGTCGGGCGACTTCTGAGTTTGCGTTCGGTGGAGGGAATGGTGGCATGTTGTTGCGGAGGGCTATGTCGCTTAGCGCTTGGGCGACCTGGGTGAGTTGCTGTAGGGTTTGAGCCAGGGGGTCGTGTGTGGTGGGTTCCAGAGTCCTTGATTGTCTTCTGTTTGGTGCCATGTTGCTAGATCTATAGAGTCAATGTTTATAGTGATTTAGAGGGTTGCTCCCTTACCTCGGTGTGATAAGCGAAGGGGGTTTATTTAAATTAGGGCGGAGTAATGTGAGGGGAGGTCATGTGTAGGCTTCTCAATCTCACCACGCGTTGTAAGATTCCTGAGTCCTATGTTCCTAAATTCCTAGAGTTCAGGCCTAATGTCCTAAAGCCTGGTCTTAAAAGTCTTATCTAGGGTCAAACTTAGGCTCTGGTACCATCTGTAACACCCCGAAATTTTTCAATTTTTAAGACTTATATAATAGAGTTAAATTCTCATTAATTCCCAAAAGTATAATATAAAAGTATGGGGTGCTATGCCACACCTGAGCTAGAGAACTCAGGTGCACAGGCTAATTATCTAAATCCTTAATAATGTCAATACATGAGCATGGCACGCAGGCCGAAAGGGAACTATCTACTCTACGCTTCCAATCTCTAGCGCGCTCCAGTGCCTACTCATCCGTGCCTGAAAGCCAAATATATCTGTTCAGCGAGAGATGCTAGTAACCCACTCCAACGCGTTGAAATACATTATAGATAAGTATATATATATATATATATATATATATATATATATATATATATATATATATATATATATATATACAAAAATCATTTCGAAGCAGGAAGATATATACTTAAGAGACACTAGTTTTAAAACCGGGAATAGACTCAGCAAATAGGGACAAGCACATCAAACAATAATAAACAGTTAAGTAGAGATAACATCATAAGGATTACGCATCTAAGGTCACAGATCACTTTCCATTTCCAAAACACATCATCACTTAATCGCCATTCACATCACATAATCATTGATGGCGCCACGGGACCAATCGCATGCCCCGAACATGAGGGTTAATGCTTGTAGCATTAACACGGCCCCGCAGCACCCTACCTCAGTACCGTGGTACGAGGGGAGTTGATCGCAACCAACCCTTTGAGAACCGCTGACGAACTCAACGTCGGATCACGATCCGACATACCGCTGACGCACACAGTCGGTGGACCGCGATCCCCTTTACAAGGGAGGACTTACGACCCTACACACCGTCGATACGCACAGTCGGTGGACCATAGCGGATCAAGCCCGGCTTACCGCTGAGCTATACTCAGTCGGTGGGCGAAGATCCTCGGAGACTATGGCCCTACACACCGCTTTCGCTCTCCCACCATTCGGTGGATCGCAGCCAGCCGTAGCCCTACACATCGCCTGATTACTCAGGTCGGTGGACTACAGCCTTCCTCGGCTTATTGGCCCTACACACCGTCCTAACGCGTTCAGGTCCGGTGGGTCATAGCACCGAGGCCCATATTTGGACCTGTAGTCCAAGAAGTATATCAATTTGGCCTTAGCCACTTCTGAGCCTTAGCTCAGGAACAATCTATTGGCCTTTAGCCACTTCCGAACCTTCAGTCCGGGAACCATCCATTCGGTCTTCAACCGACTTCCGAACCTTAGTCCGGGAACCACCCAATTGGCCTATAGCCAAAATGGGGGATCATGCAACACATAACACGTAGGAGCACGTAATAGCATATTGGGAGGGGAAAGACATATAAATAAACTTACGCGTGATCATTGTTAGGAATAAAGTGTAATGGTTTTGATATGCCAAATTTGTATTTGTAGATCCCCCAATTTTATTTCTAGGTCTAGTAGAGTCTTAGACCGTGATCGGGAAATTATTTAATTATGAAAAGAGAAAAACAGAGGAAGATGGATGAAAATAGAAGAAGAAGATATAAAGCCGAAACTCAAGAATTTGTCTGGAGAAAATGACAAATTGAAGAAGAAGATGAAAGATATGAAATCACGTCAATGCTACTCAAAGAAGATATCCCAGAAGAATTTTCATGAAGAAAATTAATATTGGAAGAATGCATGAAATTGACTTGGAGATCAAGCCTCTATGGAAAGAAAGAAGTACAGCAAATGTGATTGGAGATTTAATCAAAAGCTGTACGGACGAAGTGGATGATGCTTGATATATTATCCGAGCCAATGTAGAATTGAAATCGGGAGCCAATTGAGTATGGGAGCCAATGTAGAATTGAAATTGGGAGCCAATTGAGGTTGTAGTATGGGATGCAATTTCAAAGTTGGGGAACGATTCAAAATTGAGGTTGTAGTATGGGATGCAATTTCAAAGTTGGGGAATGATTCAAAGAAGACATGGAGATCAAATTGAATTGAGATGAAATTCAAATACCAGGAGAAGTCTGGGAGCCAATTTCAAAGTCAAAATCAACAATTCAAATTGGGAAGCAATTGAAAGCACCAGGACCAGTTGGGAGCCAATTGCAAGTCAAAGTCAATTGGGAGCCAATTACAATGGAGAAATTCAAATTGGGTGCCAATTACAA